TACTATTGAAAAATTGTCTTGCTGTTGGTGGTTGATTTGTTGCTTTTTCTTTGACCTTCCTAAATGGTGAAATGCCTATCTTATGATAATAATATTTCCATCTGGCTCTGTACTCCTTTGAAAAGATGCCACATGGAAAGACGCTTCTCTTTTTCTTTATACATCAACAATTAAGACGGTTAATTCAGACTTTCTGGAGAGTCTTATCAATGCCAATAGCAATCATTGCACACAATGGTATTCTTTAAAGTGCCCTGTCGTATAGCAGTCTCAAAAATTATGTTGAAAAAGTAGTATCCTTATTCATATAATACAAATAGTTTTTTGTAACTAGTAAAACCAGTGATCTGTGCAGGGTCAAGAACAAGGTAAACATGACTAATCTCTGCATATTTATGCCCTGTTTACTTTCTTCCAAAAGTATTCAGGATGAGACAAAACTGAAAGAACTATATTCTTCAAATAAGAGAAGAAATGGCCTTACCAAAGACAGAGTCTGGTGAAATCAGCTCTCATCTGAGATGCTAAAATTCTGGGTTTAAAATGTAAATAATTTAAAACTCATGTTAAAACAGGCTGTTAATTAAGTTTATAGAGCCATGCTATGTGGGTAGGTGGAAAGTTAGACTGTAAAAGTTTGAGACTTTGAAGATTAGGCGTAGTAGGCAAATTAAAATTAAAATCTGATTCTCATCATGACTTTTATTGCATATTTCTTATTTAAAAGCCATTAATAAAGATGGAGTATATTTCATCATTATAAGAATTTATCAAATAGCATAAACAATTCATTTCTAGGAAAATCGAGAAATTTTCTCATGATGTCTTTTGTTGGCAGCTAAACTTTGGGCTATTTGTAGGCTATCTCTATGTTGGGAGAAACAGACTTTAAAGGGAGTAAAATGGTCTGACTGACTGACTTTTTTGCAGGTTATATCTGAAGAAAGATGTTCTAAGGAAATCATAGGAATGAAATAATGTCACATGATTTCTCCTTTTATAGAAATTAAGCTCAAAATTAGTTTTAAAGATAATATTACCCTATGTAAATGGTAGATTACATTATTGCCTCAAGACATTATGATCTTGATGAATCTACATACATGGTTATCAAAGAGAAAAAAGACAATGCTAAGTACTCCAAATGCTCTAAATAATGTTTAGATTATCAGGGAATGTAATGGAACCTTAGGGCTGCATAAAAAATGATTATCAGACAATTATAATGTACTTAACATGTTTAAAGCACTATGTAATACTCAAAATGGTCTCTTTTCTTTTTTTTTTTTTTTTTTTTTTTTTGAGACGGAGTCTTGCTCTGTCGCCCAGGCTGGAGTGCAGTGGCCGGATCTCAGCTCACTGCAAGCTCCGCCTCCCGGGTTTACGCCATTCTCCTGCCTCAGCCTCCCGAGTAGCTGGGACTACAGGCGCCCGCCATCTCACCCGGCTAGTTTTTTTTGTATTTTTTAGTAGAGACGGGGTTTCACCGTGTTAGCCAGGATGGTCTCGATCTCCTGACTTCGTGATCCGCCCGTCTCGGCCTCCCAAAGTGCTGGGATTACAGGCTTGAGCCACCGCGCCCGGCCAAAATGGTCTCTTTTCTATATTATCCAACTTTTAGTGGAACATTAGGAAGTTACTAAAATTATGTATTATCTCTGTTTTATAGATGACTAAACTAAAACAGAAACTTAATGACAGTAATAGATTTAGATTATAGGTCAATGAATGACTCATTTTGTGTACCTACCATTTTCCTCTCCGAATCCTCCAGGATTCTATAGCACACTATTATGAATAAGAGTAAAGATCTCTGGCTAAAATCTCTGTGGTTATATTGCCACGTATTACATATGGATTAATAAATCATTGTATGGCTGGCACATGAATTGTAAGAATTTATCAACCTAACCAGGTCAGTTTTGAGAGTGAACGGGGACGCTACTAATGATTATATGAGGACTTTATGTAGTGACTCTAAATAAAACTTTGTAGTGACTCTAAATAAACTGTTGACCAAAAAAAAAAAAAAAAATTGTGTATATTTCTTTCTGTTTTGTTTTCCCGGAAGAGTGAGATTCCTTTTCTTATGCATATGTGAATTTTGCTTGTGTTTTGTTTTTGCCAGAGTAAGAGGTGTTTGAGGAACGTAATTTCACTCTTAACTAAGACAAGGCACTTGTTTCCTCTTTACTTCTCAATATCGCTGTAAGCATTATTCTGGTTAATCAGCCACATTCAATCAAATAATATGAAATATAATCATAGAGAAAACATTCCATCTTCAGAGATTTTCCAGGATATAAATTTATGTATGTGTATTTATACACATTTTTTTTTGGTCCTTTTTTTTTTTTTTTTTTTTTTTTGAGGTGACTTCTGACTCTGCAATCAGGCTGGAGTGCAGTAGCATGATCATAGTTCACTGCAGCCTTGAACTCTGGGACTCAAGTGATCCTCCCATCTCAGCCTCCCAAGTAGCTAAGACTACAGGTGTGTACCACCACACCTCGTAAATTTATTTTTTGTACAGATGGGGTCTTGCTTTTGGCCCATGCTGGTCTCAAACTCCTGGCCTCAAGAAATCCTCCTCCCCCAGCCTCCCAAAGTACTGAGATTACAGGCATGAGCTACCACACCTGGCTTTTTTTTCTCTTGAGCAAATAGATTGGGATAATGAAAATGACTACTGTTAAGCACTTTTTAAAGCATTCAACTGTTGCATAAATATTTTTAAATTTTCATTAAAATTTAATTTTGGAATGCTGAGAGTTACAATCTGAAACCAACAAATTCAGTGCTTACATTACCAGATTTTAACTTTTATTTCTCAATAACCTAAACAAGGAATTTTAATGCATTTATATTATTTCTAAAATGCTCGTTCTTATTTCTACTAGCTTCCCTTATTTTCCTCTTAGTTCATTTTCCGTTTCTTATTATTTTGCTTCTTTAGTTTTTCCTTTCCTAATTATTGTTTGGTCACATTTTATTTGATTCTTGTTTTCTTGAAATAGATAATTCTAACTATATTTTTTCTAGTTACTATCATATATTATTAATTTTAAAAGCTCTGGATAAATTTTCCTAACAACGTCAAAATCAATCAGTCACTTTATTAATCAGCTTTGCTTCATGACAAATAACCTCCAGACCTCAGTGGGTTACCATAAAAAGCTCATTTCTCTCTTAGGTTTTATGTCAATTTTAACAGGTTGACTGAGGCTCTCTCTCTCTCTGTCTCTCTCTCTCTCTCTCTATATATATATACACACACACACACACATATATATATACGCATTCCAGAATCTAGGCTGCAGGAGCAAATCTGAAAAGGACATGCCATTCTTTTGCAACAGAAAAATACCAGACTAAAGCACTCAAGATTCTCAATACTTCTGATTGAATGTGGTATATTTCATGTTTACTCACTGCCCATTAGCCAAAGCAAGTCATATGGCCAAGCCTAATATCAAAGGGGTTGGGACGTAAGCTCCCCCTATAAGATGGTGCTTTATGTCACATGGCAACAGGGAGGGTAGAGAATAACTGAAAATGATGGTACCATGTACTATAGTAACTCTACCCTGTTGCTCTGACAAGATAAGATCAACATGTACTGAGCTCATCTAAGTGTTAGAGATACTATAAGGAATAAAGCTATCCTTTTTTATGAACTTAAACTCAGGTTGTGATATACCTATTTCACTACTCTTCTAGCTTTGTATTGAAATTATCCGGAATTTGCACTAAGTTTTTCCAAACATTGACTAACTCATTTGCATGCAGCAGCCTATTCTTATTTTATGAATTTGGTATCCTCTCAAATCTCTGGGGATATGAACATCTATTTAAAAATTTTCTTCTATGTCTGGTATCAACTTTACTTTGTAAGGTGAGAGAGTATCATTTTATATAGTTAGGTATATCTTTATGATATGTTGACTTTTCTCATGTTCACAGTGATTGATCTATACCAAGGACTAAAGAAGGCTTCACCAGTTCAAGTAAATATCACTGGTCCCCAGGCAAGGTGTATGGGTTCTGTTCACAGGTCATCTGATTGCAGCAAATAATCAGTAGCAAATAACCAGGAAAGGGTCTGGTGGATGGAGCATATTTTCAGTTGATTTTCTTTTAAGGTACTTGGGATATTGTCTTTGGCATACAAGTGATTCTCATATATTACAAAAGGTGTTTAGGCCCCTCCTCTGTTTCTCTCCCTAAACTCGAAAGACCATTCTGTAAGTTCCCCATGGACAAGTTGTCACGTTATTTAAATAACTTATCTCCAAGCTTTATCCTGAGGTCAAACATCAGAGCCAGTCACATTAACAGTGGGCTCTGGCAAAGAGACTTACAAACCTTTAAATAAATATCCAAAGATGGCCTCAGAGCACACTTCTGCTGCCTCTGATCTTAAGGGGACTCCTGATATAGCCCAGAGCAAGGGGAGATTCATGAGGTGAGTGAGGTTCTTGCCTCAGGCACAAAACTTAAGCTAAAACACACAGTAATCACCATAAATAATATTCTGCTGCAATTCTTTAAAAGATCCAAAAGTAATACAAAATTCTGTAATAGACAAAATATCAAAACCTTAAATAAGTATAAAATTGCTGATAGTACTGTGCCAAGCCACAGCAGAGCATGAGGCAAAACAAAGTCTTACTTTTGATTTTTCAAAATATTTTCAAGTTTTTTGGGGGTACGCTCTCAAATTTTATATTCAGCTCACTTCATTCAGCTCACCCCAGTCCTGGCTCTGGCTCCTGAGAAAATCTACTATTTCTCCTCCTGAGAAAACCTACCATTTGAGCAGTACTACATTATATTTGTACCATATGAGTAGTTCTTTAGCTTTGTTGGGTCAAGGGAAAAATCTCATCTGTCAGCTTTAGAGCTTTTACAGCTTTCTCAGTCTAGTTGTCCACTGATGAAATATTTCATTTTTCTCTGCACTGATTATAGACTTATTATTTTTCATGTTTTTGTTTCAGTAGGATTTTGAGAGAGAAAAAAGGTTAACTTCTGCATATACATGTGCTCAGTAAGCTATCTTGAAACAGAAGCCGGGAATAGACATAAAAGCAAGATAAAATAATGGTAAGATTAATTATTAAAATGTAAAGCATATTGGGGTACATAAAAGATATGGCATATGTAAAAAGATTCAGCATTATTTTTTAAGTGGCTATAATTCCATTTTCAAAAATAATGGAACAATTTAAGGTAGGCATATTTTAGAGTTTAGAAATAAAAGGTTGAGTAGAAAGGAAATAGATAAATTTGACCATCTAAATCCAGCCATAAAGAAATACACTAGAGACACAGGGAGAAAAACTACTCTGCTTCCATTTCCTCCAAAGACTCCAAAGTATTGTATAAGACATAGTTTCATTAGAAGAGAAACACATAACTAAGCAAATAGAGAACGTTTCAGAGGATTGCATTTAAAAACTTAGTAAATTCAGGTTAAAAATATAGTTAAAGACATCCCAGGCTATTTTATGATGGAGACCAGACATTCCTGACCTGTTTAGCTCTTGTGAAACCTTCCCCCTTCTGCCCTTGGAAGTTCATGTCAGGACATTAAATGACTAAATTATGTCTCAAACACTCAGGTGTTAAAATAAAAATATAATATTTACCCTTTGTTCATTGCTTACTATGTAACAGAAGGTGAGATATTATCTCATCTACTCTTCGCGACACCAGAAAAAGTAGGAATGAAAACTTTCCCTGTTTTACAAATGAGAAGACTGAGGCTGGGGAAGTCAAGTTACTTGATCAAGATTATACATTTCATATTTGCTGAGCTGGGAGTCAAGCTCAGCCATCTGTGGCTTAAGCCTGTGCTTTCAACCATCATCTTATAATTGTAGAAGGGGTTTATTTCATCAATATTGGTAATCAGGCTAATTCCACAATAAACATGGACCAATTAATAGAGAGCCCTAGTTGTCTCTTACTCCAATAGTTTTATTTAAAACCTGTTTATTATGACTGTGCAACTGGTCTTTGTACTTCAGTTTCTCATTTGTAAAAAGAAACAATGCCTAAGATTTCTACCCATTCTACAATTCTATGATTCTGTGATTATTATCAGCAGCAATTTGCCCTAAGTAAGATATAATTGCATAACCCAGTGACTTTAAAGGGCAAACTAAGAATAAGATGTAAATAGGCAGACTCAAAAGAAACCAAGGTAACACCCATAATTTCAATAAGCTCGTTTTATTCTCATTCTCTCCCTTTCACCTTAAATCACTTCTTACTTTTTAATTGCCCCAATCTTGCCTTTATTTTATCCTGTACTAATAGAAGTAATATGATTCCATTTGGCCTTGCTTTTCCTACCCAGCATTTCTCTACCTTTTAAAACCAAAATAATCTTTAGCTACCAAAACACCTCATGTTTCACCTTAGGAGATTCCATATATCTCCCGAGGGGAGCAGGTCAACTTCACTCGTACAGTAAGAACCTCAGAGACAGCCTATTGAGTTACCTTACCAGCTTAAAAAAAAATCTGTTGAGCTTGGTACTCCAGAATTTGTTTTTACTAAAATTACATGTTGTCAGGCACTTTAAATTAAAATGATGAAGTTTCATCTCAGAACCATCAGACTAAAATTTATAAAATACTGGAGAGGATATCTAGAAACAAAGACTGTTAAGGAGGGCAGTGTAAAGTGATACAACCACTTTAGTGAACAGTTTACCAAAATATCAAAAAGTTTAAGATATGCATGACCTAGGACCCAGCAATTTCACCATCAGTCATGTGCATCCAGATACATTCTAAAAGTGCTCATTGCAGCATCCCATTAGTATTGAAAAACTATAAATAAATATTCATCAACAGGAGAGCAGATATATGCATTATGATAGATGCAGAGGGTGGAATTCTATTATTTTAGTCCATTTTGTGCTGCCATATCGGAATATTACAGACTGGAGAATTTATAATGAACAGAAATTTATTTTCACAGTTCTGGAGGCTGGGAAGTCCAAGAGCAAACAGTTGCATTTGTGAGAGCCCTCCTGTTGCATCATCACTGGTGGAAGTCAGAAGGGCAAAAAGAAGGCAAAAGAGAAAGCAGAGGCTGAATTCATCTTTTTACAACAAACACATTTCCTTGACAACAGCATTAATCCATTTGTGAGGGTAGAGACCTCTTGACCCAAACACCTCTTAAAGGCCTCACCTAACACCTCCACATTGGGGATCAAGTTTTCAACACATGAATTTTGGGGGACACATTCAAATCATAGCAGCTGTTCATCAATCAATATGAATGAGCCAGAGCTATATGCAGCAGCATGAATAAATCTAAAACATAAATAATGAGGGCAATGAAAACAAGCTGCAGGGTGGTGCATACTGTATGAAACCATTTGCCTAGTTTAGAAACACATAAAGCCTGAGAATATTTTGTTTTTAGATATATAATTTAAAAACTTATAAAAAGGGCTTGGAGGATAATAAATAAGACTGAGAAAACTACCTCTTTGAAAGAAGTGATTGGATTCATGCACAGAGGGTTTCAATTATGCCTGTTTTCCTTAATTCTTAAGTGGGCAATATATACATGATTGTTATATTATTTTTGTACTTTTTGCATCAGTTTATTTTATCATAAAAATAGATATATTTCTGTTTTTTAAATGTAAAATTATATTATGAGATTCAATGTTTTTTCAAATTATACATATTTTTATCCCTAGACTCTAATGATATGTCCCCAGTGAGAATGAAAATCCGCTTTGTCAATCCACACTTACTATTGACTTAATTATCCAACAGCATTTTAAGTGCCAACTATGGGCTTAAACAAGTGCTGAATTATGTTGTTGACCACTGTGTTCACTCCCACCTCTAGGAGAGCCCAAACTTGTTGAGAAATAGTAAAGGCTAGGAGAGGCAGCATTTTAATTAGCTTCTGGCTAGATTTTACAAACCTCAACAAATTTATGCTATGCTCAGGGCTGCTACTGAATGCAATGACACTGGCTTACTCAAAATAATAGCCGGACATGGTGGCTCATGCCTCTAATCCCAGCACTTTGGGAGGCTGAGGCGGGTGAATCACCTGAGGTCAGGAGTTCGAGACCAGTCTGACCAATATGGTGAAACCCTACCTCTACTAAAAATACAAAAATTAGCTGGGCATGGTGGCATGCACCTGTAGTCCCAGTTACTCTGGAGGCTGAGACAGGAGAACTGCTTGAACCCAGGAGGCAGAGGTTGCAGTGAGCCGAGGTCGCACAACTGCACTCCAACCTGGGCAACAGAGTGAGAGTCCATCTCAAAAAATAATAATAAATAAAAAATAAACAAGAAAAAAAATCCAAAATAATAATAATAAAGAAAACCTCTGGTCAGCAGCCCCCAGAACTCTCAAGCATGGAGGATTGAGATAACCATTTTTTATATCCAAACTGCTTTCCAAGCTGTCATGCAAGGTGAAACTAAAGAAGCAATGTGTGGCCTGATTTTAATTACTCTTTTCTTCATTTGCTTGTGAGTTTTGTCAGTAAAAGATCTTTAGTTAAGGTTTGATTTCCATTGCCAAGGTAACAGGAACCATTTTCTAGATGGTTTGGCATCCACTGAGACTCTGAATTCCATTTCCTCAGACCACTACACTAGCCTTGACCCTCTTGCTCTTGTGGTTAACTAATGTCTATCATCCCACATTTCTGCAGGTATTCTCTGCTCAAGAATTCACTGTTGCTTTTTTTTCCTCTTGAACTTATTAACTCCACTAATCAGTCTCTCCTAGCAAAACCTCAATACATTTCCCCACCCTGCCCTACTCCACCTTAGCCACACATTCCATTACCACATCCTGAATTCTTGTCTTCAAATGAGTCACCCCTTCATTAGCTTAACTCATTTTGCCTCCTTCTCTCAGGTACTACCTTGTTCAACCACACTTAGCAAGAGCTCCAATTCATCATCTACACCACCACTCTTTCACTGTTGCTCATGCTATTGTTCTTCCTTCTCTTTCCTGGGTGAGATTCTAAGATTCAACATTGAAATTCTTTCTTTGCAAAATACCCTTAATCCCCTGTCCTCTCGTCTTTCATTGCATTCATTTAGCAAGCAGTGACTTCAGTTAAACCCAGGCATTCTCTATGCTTTCTCCAAGCAACTAAATATCGCTGGGGGGAAAAAATCACAGAATTGGTTGACTGAAATTGCTTTAAATACAACACACAAACCTCAAAACAGAATTCAACACTAACCTTGTCCTATTATATTTTTATACTTAGTATTCTTTCTCATTCTCCATGGTGACTATTTCTTGTTTTTTCCCCTACAGTTCTTAAGCATATAATCCCTTCCACCTCCCCTTCAAATTACTCAAAATTTACAATCTTGCCTCATACTTGAGAAAAGGAAATGGATAAAAATAAAATTTTCTAATAATGTAGCAGACATATCTACCAACTTAGGTGTATCCATAACCATATGCTCTATCTTCTCTCCTGTTAAACAGATAGACAGATCCCTGTCTCTGTTAACACCCAATGTATCCAATTATGCTGTATATCACTTCCTAGTTTGTCTTCTCAAGGACTTTACTCTTGTGATCCATTAGTTATCTATTGCTGCATAACAGATTATTCTGCAATACCACAGCTCAAAACAACAAACATTTACTATCTCCAGTATCTAAGGGTAAAGAATCCAAGAGTGGCTTAATTGGAATGAATCTGGGTGAGATCTCTCACAAGTTTGCAGCCAAGCTATCAGCTAGGACTTCCATTGTAGCACTGATGGGCTGGGACTGAGGATCCACTTCCAAGCTCATGCACGTGACCATTGGTCAGTTTCTCACTGGAGGTCTCCGTTCTCAATTCTCCACCACTTAAGCCTCTCCATAGGGTTGCTCACAAGATAGCAGCTTGCTTTCCCCAGAACAAATAATGAGAGAAAGAGAGACCAAGTGGGAGCTGTATTCTATTATAACCCAATTTTGGAAGATCCTACCCCATCACTTCTGTTGTATAGTCTTAGTCACACAAACTAACCCTGATGGAACTGGAAGAGGTCCACACAAGGTTATGAATGCCAAGAGATGGGATCCTTGGGAGTGAGTCATCTTGGAGGATGGCTACCACAAGCAGCTACCTCTGTGTAACCTAAATTATAAATTTCTCCCTTTCTATTGGAGCATTCCTAGCAGCGTACAAAGTTAGACTCCTAACAGAAAAGAAAACTCCAATGGCCTCACATTCACCTCCATCTGCCACCTACTCTATTTGCCAAATCTCATTGCCAAACTCTTCACAGAACTTGTGAATACCCACCGTCACCATGCTATAGCACTTATCATCATTTTCCATTCTCTTCCTCTGTTTTCTGGCCATAACACCCCTCTAAAATCATTCTTGTCTATCAGTAGTGATTTTATGTTGCCTACTCTAGTAGACCATTATCTGCCTTCATCTTACTGTAGCTGCTAGTATCACTCAAAAATATTCTCTTTTTGTGCATGCAGAGAGGAATTTAGGTTTTATGGAACTTGAAGCTTACACAGTTTTGGATCCTCATTTAAAAAGGAGTCTAATTATAATTAGAAATGAAAGTAAATATTTATTTAGGATGAAAAACAAATTATAAAATATTGCCAATATTGAAAGCTCAAAAATACCACCAATATCAAAAAAGGACAGAAAATAACACAACTCCTACAGAATTTTGTTCTCTTACAGTCTTGACTACATAATTTTTATTGCCTCTTAATATAACAATGATCTTGATATACTGTTTTCTATAATGAGAGTAGAAAGATATCCAACTTCTCCCCTGAAATGGTTGACCAAAAATCCTGTTTATTTTTACCTTAGGAAATTTACTCTCAGTTTCACAACTTGTTAGAATTGTCAAATTTGGGGACATTTTTTCAGGCTTATTTCATATATGAGATACAAGGTTTTGATGAATTTTCCACCAACTAACATTGGCTCCATATATTTCACACTTTATTTCTCCTCCACTCCAACTCTTCCCACTGTAGTCCAGCTGCTGAGTGAGTTGGTACAGCAGGCACCAGGACATTCCTGGAGGCCATTCCTATGCTGGGATGGCAGCAATAACTCAATTATACTGGAAAGGGGTTGTGAGCTACATAAACTTATACAACTAAATGTATAAATACACAAATGTGCTATATTCCAATAAACACATGCATGCAATATCTGCATATAAGGTTTTTATTGCTGTGTAACAAATGACCACAAATTTAGCAGGTTAAATTGGCATACAATTATAATCTCAAGGTTCCCATAGGTCAGGAAACTGGGCACAACTTAGCTGGGTCCTCCTCTGCTTAGGGTCTCAAAAGGCTGCACTCAAAATGTCATCCAGGATGGGGTTCTCATCAGAGGCTCACCTGGGGGAAAAGCCTACTTCCAAGAACCCTCAGATTGTGGGCAGAATTTATTTCCTTGCAGTAAGATTCATGGCAGCCTGCCTGCCTCTTCAAAGACAGTCATGTAAGGGCTCTAGCAAGACAAATATTACATTCTTGAGGAATCACATACACGTAATCACTTTCATTTCATTGCACTTTTTTGCAATTCATTGGTTAGAAGCAAGTCCTGCCCATATGAAGGGGAGGGAATTACACAAAGGCATGAACACCAGGAGGTAATGATCATGGGGCTGCTTTCAAGTCTGCCCACCACCGTCTCTTAAAGAATAAATATAGAAAAAATATAAAGTGATACATGTCATATTAAAAAATCATTTCAATGAGTTCAAGATGATTCACATGTATCAGTAAGTTTCAATGGTTCCATGAGGTAGTGTACATCTGCTTTCTACATGGGCAAATGAGAATTTCAACTTTTTCAGATTCCCAAGCCAGCTAATTGAGCTAGAACTTGGATTTCTCAAACTTCATCTTCCAGTTTATTGCTTCATATTAGGTTCCTCTAGAAATACAAAAGAACAAAAGTTGAAACTTTTGTTCCTGGAGATAGTTTTTAAGTACAGGAACTACTGAATACATATCTTTTAAGCATAAGCTAATTATTGAGAATTAATTAGTCCTCTAGTTACCACTTGTATACCATCAAAATACATTTTCATCTTGACATTTCTTGATGTCTCACTGAGTCTTCAGATTTATAAACCCAAAGATTATGTGGAATTTGTTCCATTTTTCTTTTACAGGTACTTGAGGCTGCTATTCTCACTTAGTACTCATCTCAGTTTTCTAAAGACCCATCTAAAGATGTTCATCTTTAATTCATCTGAGAAAAGGAGCAAGAATACTTCATGACCATAAGAGTAAGTTGATATTGGCACTAGTGGTTAAGCTATAACTTTGCTAATTCCAATGGCCCTGTGTATTTTTTCTTCGCTATTATTCTTCACTAGGAATCAAAATATAAGCATTCTTTGTTATTATAGGCTTTATCCTCTACACAGATACGCCCTTGGATTAAAAGACCATGTTCTTAAAGCAGAGAAAATACAGATGTTTCCACTTGCCCATTTATATCACTCCACACAGCAATGATATTAGTCTTTTAGTAGTATATGCCACATTAGCAGTCTGAGTGTTTTTGAATCAAAGCCGAAATTTGTAGTGCCTCTAATGTGTAATGAAGTTGCACATTTTTACCATGCATTCACTCAAGCATATGGGTTTTATAATTGAACTCAAGAGATTGTATTTTGGATTCACTTCTGCTCTAATAAAAATGTACACATACCAATGCTTCTGTCCCCATTTGGAGACACAATTTGATACAGTTTGGTCATCTGTTATAGAGTATAGATAGGCTTTCATTCTTCTGTTGAAAAAAAGAAGCCATGATGACTTAATTATGTAAAATAGCATTACTAAATAGCAAATAGTTTATATTATATCTGCATATGGGCATTCTAAAAGAAATTACATGATGATATGAATTACCAGTGCCCAGAACAAATATCATTGGAATGAATATGCTTGTTTTTGAGGAGACATGGAATTTAAAAGCATTGGCTTACTTCTAATGTTATTGTTCTTCATCAACCAAGCTTTCAAATAAATGTTCACATTTCTATGACGGTTTAGATTGTGGATTTTAGGAATGCTCAGATTACACTCAAAAGCAAGTATTTCCAGATATTGCTCAAAAGGTTACTTTTGAAATATGTTTTTTTATTGCACTTGAATATAGTTAAAACACATCTACCACAAAAGAAGTAGTCAGAAAATTCATTTAATCTTTTTAGAGTGCTTTTAAAATATTTAAATTAAAGTTAGATCTTTGGATAAGTTCATACTTAATGGTTGTCATCTATGTACAGTGTAGTTTCATGGATTATAATAATGTAAGTTAAACTTACTTTTTTTGCATTTACTCCTTTGTCCTAATGTGGAGATGTTTATGTATATTTTTCTCACTTCAAATCATTCCATTAATGGGGGTATTGTAATAATATTTTTCTAATCAATTAAAAGAAATGAATGCTAAAATGATCAGAACTCTCAAATGAACATTTTTAACTTAAAATTATATCCTAGAAAGTTGGTTTTAGGACATTATGATAATTCACTAGGAAATGAATACTGTATATATTTGTTCTTTCAAGATGAGAACATAATAATCACTAAAATTTATTGGGCATTTTCTTCTCTAAGTATTCATTTCAATGAGTTAACTTACTTCTTTGTTAACTTACATCATCACAGTCACTTTATAAGAGAAGTGCCATTATTTTTCTAAGTTTGCAAAAGAGAAAACTGAGACACAGAGAAGCTAAATGACTAGTAAGAGGTAAAGTTGAGGTTCCAGCATAGGAAGTCTGGCTCTCAATGACTAACCCATGCCATCTTGAAAAAGTCAGCATAGCCTTGGTACAGTCTTCTAATGATAACTTAATCATTGTCTTCTCAAGAAAATATTTCTTTGAATAATATAAAATTCATATTTTCTTATCTGTTACTGAATTACATAAAAATGTATAATAAACATCTGAAGTCTACTGTTTTTATAAAGTAATATTCCTGCATAAATGCAAAATTATTATATTGGTTCTTTTGCTTTAATACCATTCTCTCATGGCACCATCAGTGTTGAAAATCTGTTTCCTCCATGTTCAATTCCACTTTCCTGTCCTATACAAACCAAGTAATGATAGCAGCTATCCTTTAATTGTTCAGCCAACTATTTTGCTCAATTATATTTATTAAAATAACCAAATTGATTTTCTGTCTATAAGAACAGGCATTTTGAAATCTATATGCTTCTCGGTCAAAGGTTATGTCAATAAAATACTCAGTAAAGTGGAGATTTGGAAATCATCCAATTAATTTGATCAATAGAGAGGCAAACTCAATATGTTAAATCCTAAACGTTTTTTCCTCTTCTGAATTACTGTCTGCAGACTACATTGATACAATTAGCCAGACAATCACCACATCTCATTGCTACTTGTGCTCCATGGTTTACTCCTCAGTGTGATGAGCCATTGGTAGACATGACAGGTTTTCTCAAATTGTGACCCTTTCTCTACCACTAGTGATCAGTGGAGAAGTAAAGCAATTTCAAAAAAAATGTGCGCTTTAACTGAATTATAGCCAATTAATAAACAATTTTACTTTGACTATAAGAATATGCCAAGTAATATGAATGTTTTAGGTCATGTTTATAATCACATACAATTTTGACTTTAGCATTTCCAAATGCAGAGATTTACATGTTAATTTTTGGAAACATCTCTTTTACCCATTTTAAAACTTTACCTTAAAATTTTAGTAGAAATTTAAAGAAATAAATGGTAAATCAATGTAAAATGTTGACCTGATTTTACAGCTATAACAGTAACCAGAAATTGCTCCATTCCATTCTTAAGGGTTTTGAAATAGTAACCATATTCAAGAAGTCTCCCTGTGTCTCTTGTTTCTTCTGTTTCTTCACAATATCCTGGTATCATAAGATCATGTTTTGTGCTGTGAGCAAGTACAAATGATTATGTAATGAAGAATCTACTATTATCCTATTAATAACTACATTTTCATAGGTAAAAATAATGTTTTTCATTCAAACCAAAAAAATGTCAATCGCTTGGCTTATGCTGCAAGCTGTTATTACATTTAGTGTCAGGGTATTAATGCATCATTTGGGACACTTTGGGACTCAAACAGAAAATCAGTTAAAAGGAGGTTAATCACCTGCTTTTTTGAATGTGCAAATTTATGAAAAATACTAAATGGCATGGAATCATCACACCCAAAACGGTCTACAAATAAGAAGCAAAAGAGTGAAGGAAGAGCTTTTTTGCATGAATCCGTGACAAGGTGTAATTATTTTACACGTTAAACTGATTTGTAACTGTTGAAACAATTGACCCATTCTCAGAAAATGAGAGTACCTAGCAAATACAAGGAAATCCAATATGAACTTTCTGGACCTATTAATGTGCTGACTAGCTTTGGATGTTTTCCTAATTACTTCTAAATGTTTTGCACAAGTCATCAAAACCTGCTAATACATCTGTCGAGTGGGTGATTGGCTATGTATATATGCAAATATATCTTTTGAAGATATAGATAAAACATACAAATATGGATTCTATGATAGTATACAACCTTTAATACCACACTATTTACTTTTGTAAAACTACTGGAATTTGTGCAGTACACAGAATTGTTTTTTAACATTTCAGTCCAATTTTTGGGCTGTTTTCTGTTTTTACATTTCTGCTTTGTGCTGGAATTATGTCCAAAATACCATGTGAATTTTCCCATCTGTTCTCTTTTAAATTTAAAAGCAGTTTTCCCTAATGGTATTTAGACCCCATTAAGTCATACAGGTATCTTATTTTCTTATTTTTAAAGTGCCTGCCTCATAAATATACATAAGCCAAAGTTTAATTGGTCTGGCTGGTAGGTACTACCAAAAAGATTTTTTTGAACCATTATCTAAAAAAGGAATAAGCATTTTTTATGTTGTCTTATTCTAAGATTTAACTTAGACATTCATAAAAATTTAACTAAGACATTCATAAAAAATACTTTTGAATAACAAATATTTTCCATTTTAACTTTTGGCCTGGTTATAGTGCAGAAGAAAAAAAAAAGGCTATCTGGAATCATCAAAATTTAGGGAGGGAAGAAAAAAAGGTTTTTGTAATTATTTGAATTTTTACATTAAAAAAATGAAATAAAAGTGTTTGAGTATTCAAAATGTTACCCAAAATACTGAACCAAGGAAAAATTACAATAGATAATTAGATTTAGGATTCAATTTAAACATATCAGATTTACTACTAATATGCATTGAAATAGGAACTATAGCTAAATAGGTCAAAGACAAGGCAGAAAAGCAAAAACCACACTAAGTATTACTGATAGAGGATGTTTAATAGGGATAATTAGTAATATGAGTATTGGAATTCTGTAAAAGCAAACAGGGAGAGGTGACAAGAGATCGAATGTATAGGAAGCTGTCAGCAACTTCTAGGCTGGGGAAATGAAATGGAAGTTGTAATGTTATCAGAAAGCAGAAGATTAAAGGGGAAGCCCCTATAGGATTGGTGCTTGACACTCTGAGAGTGGACTCATGGCTACTTCTGAGGAAAATGCCAGCAGCGGGGATGGGGATCTCTAAGAGATACCTCCCCATGGATGCTCAGTCTGCAACATATTAGGGCACAGCTGGTGTTCAGAAGGCAGAGAGTGGGATGGTTGGAGGAGCAAATGGTACATCAGCCACTGCGCAGGCATAGCATAGTTGGTGCTCAGATCACTGAAAGGCATGGACCAGATCATGATGGGAGCACCAGGTGAAATAGGAAATGAGAGCCTTCACTGTCTTTTGCTTCTGGAAACCCAGGTGGAAAATGACCCTCCAATTTCTCATGGCCGCAAATAGGGAGCCAACTAGATTCATATAGAGTCTAAAACATGTATTTTACATCACGGCACAAAATATAAAATGATGGGCTTTAGCAGAGAAACAATAGATAAATAACAAGCACTTTGGGTAAATCCAAAGAGGAATCTGACTGGTCTCTTGCCTTCAAGGAGTAGATTCTCAAAATGTATCAGGTTGTAACATGTGTGGGAACAGTCCAGACAAATGTGAAAAGAACAATGCTAAGGATTTCTGCTACTTGATAGCAAATTATATTTAAAAACTACAGTTAAAATAGTACAATAAAAGCATACTGACAGACCACTAGTCATGGAATAAGTCCAGAAACACACACACACACACACACACACACGCACAGATATACAGATTTAGCTTAAGATTAAAATGGCATTTTAAATGAATTTGACAAATGGGTTAACAATTCAAAAAATCTTGTTGGGACAATTGGTTCTTCACTGAAGGAAAAAAAAAATAGATCCTTACAACACACTGCAAACACACATACAAAATTCTTGATGGATTTCTGACTTAAATATAAAATAAGAATTTTTCAAAGTAAGCAAAAGTGAATACACGCATAATCTTTGGATCAAAAAGGTCTTATTAAACAAGAAATAAAATCTAAGTATAAAAGAAAAAATGGATACATTTGACTACATTGCAATAAGCAAAAAGAAAAAAAAAAAAAAAATTGTCAGGACACTATAGCAAACTGCTTTAGAAGCCAGAAGCAGGAGTCAGTGACTCTGCTTAGAATCTTGGCTGAGACTTTATCCCTTTGAGGCTTCCTTTTCACATATAATACGGCTTTAATAGCATCTACTTCAAAGGCTCATTCTGATGATTAAATAAAATAATCCATGTGAAGTGCTTAGCACATTGCCTGATACATGGTAAGCAATTAGTGATAACTAAACAACTTCTATTTTCCTATTGAGCTACTAAAATTAATTTTGAAGATAAATTGCTATAAAAGTTATTATGTTTCATTTTCTTTTAGATTTCTTAAACTTATTTTGCATACACTATTTGGGGACTAATCCAAGAAGGCACTCTTTTTACATGTGTAGTAGAATTTCATCTTTATATTTTGATCAACTCGAAATCAAACATCATATTGTTAACCCTAACACCATAGTTGTGTTGAATTGTCTCTGTGACTTTACACTTTGCGATTTAAAAAATAATTTCTGGAAATAAATATACAAAGTATTCTGATTTCTGACTATTTCATAAAAATACTTTATTTTATTAAATACAGAATGAACTGTCACTCAAAATGCTGGTCACTGCACAGAAGCAAAGATTGGAATCATTTTCAGAGAAGTAAGAATTTCAAAGTGTCCTAAATATGTGAGCAGAGTGAAATGAACCTTTTTTATAAGATATTAATTGCTAAATGAAAATAAAAAACTACGACAAAACCAATATTTATTGTGCACTTTGTATATATAGGTTAGACACTTCTGAAGGCTTGGTATATTAACTTTATTAACTTGTTAAATTCTCCCAACACTATGAAATGGATGTTACTATTATTTTCACTTTATAGATAAGGAACCTGTGGCATGAAGAAGTTAAGTAACTTGAAGGAGGCATTAGCAAGAAGGGAGTGGAGGCCAGATTTTTTTTTTTTTTTTTTTTTTTTTTTTTTTTTTTTTTTTTTT